TTCGTATTCTTTTCTCGTTGTAAAATATTGCAAGTATCTTTGTATACCTTGTTAGCATGTTTACACGTTTTCATTATACACATTTTTCGCGCATAAATTTTTAACGATATGTTAAAATAAATACGTTAGTTTAAAATACAATATTACTTGAAAGCGTTGCTTGCCGACAGGTGGCTCCCCATATCTTATCCCACGGAACGAATAAATCTTCCTTCCATGCCTCGAGACGATAATTGAACCGCGAATTTTTCCAATCGGGGCTTCGACCAATGGTTGTTCAATGTCCGTTGAACATTCACAGATAACAGCGCCAACGATACAAAGAATTAACATCAAAATGTTATTCTTCATTTTGAAGGGAGAACAGCTCGATCTTAGATATCTGTTCTTTCTCGAATGGAGGGAACGTTGATAAAAATGTATCGATCGATCTAGGGAACTGGTATAAATCGCGTTCACGCGAATAAGAGTGGGCAAATAATGATGAAACAGGGGAATTTATAAGAGCAGCGCTACGAGGAAAACCGAGTGGGGAAATCCAATTACCTTTAAGGAAGGAATATTATCTCTTATAACGTTCTTGCACAAGAACGTTTTTCTATTTTGTCGTTCTTTGAATAAGATCACGTTCAAAATTATAAAGATATGTATTTTTTTTTTTTTTTCGTTGGAAAAATAAGTCGATTAATTAATGGCATAAATGCTTGTTTGTTATTCTTATTTTATCAGCGTATTAGAAATTTATCAATGCGAATATAATATGTATGACATTGCGAATTTGATAATTTAGAGTGACATAAAAAATATTAAGGAAAGGTTAGCGAAATTATGTGAATCTATAAATATATTAGTAAACATATTTCGATTAAAAATTGTTGATGCATATGCGTGAAATTATCGTGTTTTTCTTTTTTTTTTTTTTATAATTCAAATCTTTAAGATTTTGAACAAAAAAGAAGAGAAAATATTTCGATAGTAAACTCTTTTAAAACACGATTAATTAGTATCGAAATTTAGAATTAGAATACAAACTAATATGAATATAATAAAAAATCGGATATATCGAGGAAAATTTGATGGAAATATCCGTTCTACACGAAGATTGTCCAAATTTATCAACAATGTTTATTAAACAAAAATATCGTGTTATAGATTATCGTAATTTTTGTATTCAAGCATTTACTTTCATCTATTTCTCATTCTTTAATTTATACATTCATTCTTTGGATATCTTTATATCGATTCATGCTTGGAAATGTAAAAAATTATAAAACAAAAATTATATAGAGAAATATCCAATTGCAGATACAAAAGGTTAAATAACGATGAACATTTTGATCTTTTGAATCGATTTTATTTATATTATATTATATTTCATAAATTTATAAAAAAATTCTTTTCATTAAAAACTTGCAAACTTCCAAAATAAAATTAAGTTTAAAATAAAAATTCGAGTTTGAAAATAAACAAAATGCATAGAATAAATTTTTCTTTATCATTTAAAAATTAATATTCAATTTCACTTCCCAAAAACAATTACTCTACATTTCTTCCCCAAATGAATCGTCGAGAATTCAGCCAATTTTATTTTTATTTTCAAACTTGATTCACTCGAAAACGAACAAATATATATCATTATTCCTCTTTGTGACCAACATGATACGCTCTGTACATCTTTCCTGCTAACAGAACAAACTCGAAACTTTCGTTCTTCTGGAACAGGAATTAATATTAACAAACATAAAAAGGAAGAATTTATTTAAACCTCTGACATCAGAGATAATGGGAATAAGTTTTCCCATTCCCTCATTCTATCGGAATATAAACCAGTTCTCATAGTGGAGTTCAAGTTGATCTCCAGATAATTGTCTCGCGCGAATCTGTCCCACGTGACGCCTCCAAACGCTTCGTTATCATTTGGAACGAAAGGTTCGCCATTTTTCGCGAAGCTCGCCCACACAGACGTGTACAATTCAACCATCCGGGTTTCGGGCGCGAATTCATCGAAATATGGAAAGATCTTCTCCATGTAAAACAGATATTGCAAATCGTCTTGATGCTCCACGCCTAAAGATGAAGATTAAGAAACTCAAGATTAAAAGATTAAAGGATGAAGTTTATTTATTATTTTAGGATAAAGATTATAAGATGAAGATTAAAGGAGAAAAAAAAATCTAAGAAAATCGTGTGAGCTAAGCGAGGCACGTTACCGTAAGGAGTCGTAGAATTCCACTTGGAGAAGCTGAAACGTCCTTGATAGGAAAACATGTAGAAATACACGGGGGCTTGAGAGTTCTCAGCTATCAATTTTGCCCCGCGATATTGAGGAAATTTAATTATACTGTCTTCGTAGATCTGAAAATCGATAACGTTAATGATTAACGTCAATTCGTGGTTAGATTATTATTATTATTATTATTATTATTATTATTAATTAATTCATTCATTTACATGCGCGAGACCGTCTCTTCGAGCGGAATCGATTGGCCCCCCTTCGAAGTAAAATTTTCGCAATTCCTTGCTGATGAATCGCGATCGTGATGTGTTTCGCTCGTAAATAAAACTAATCGGTGCAATTCGATACCAATTCTCACTCATATCGCGATATATATCGTTCCTCGTCCTTGTGCTATTCTCAAACGCTGGAAAAACAAATACTACAAATTGTAAACAAATTTTTTTTCTTGCTTAATTTACATTAACCATTTTGCACTCCACGTGTTTTTCAAACATAAATTAACGTTTAAAAACTTTTATATTCCAATATTTTGTGTGTTTGTTTGCACGTGAAGAAAGAAAATTTGTTGAATATTAAAATCTATATCGTTGTTTCGCGCGATATTTTAATGATAACGTAAATGTCGTTTAATCCTGATAACGTGTTCTCATATTCACTGTCTATTATTCTTATTTTTCATTTATTCTACATTCTTCTTATACTATATCTTTCTATCTATCGTCAATTTTTTTAATGGATAAAAATAATTTTGATATTCAGTAACGAAAAATCAAACTCATCTTTGCTCAAACTAATTTCATTCCAAACCATATTCCATCCTTATAAAACTCAAAAACTTTATATTAATAATATTTCTATAAATAAATATGAAAATAATAATAATATAAATAATATAATAAATAAATATAAATAATAATATAAATTTGAAAATAATATTCCCACTGTCAAACTCGGACTAATGCCAAAAATGTAATTCGATCCGCGATCACGGTTTAATTTAAGAGATAAATTTAAGAAAATCTAACCTTCGACACACTGTATTATAAGATTATACGTAAAGAGCTTAGGAATCTATTAATGAAGCGATATTTTAAAAAAATCAAACGTAAATAAATATTATCGTTCGAAATCGTTGCATCGATTCAAGTAGACCAAATGGAGTTACCATTCGAGCGCAAAGAGTTAAAATCGAATTAAAGAATCGCTCCATCTACCGACAACCACTCCTCCGAATTCGTCCTTCGTTATCCCAAATATGACTGGAACTTTGTGAAACTTTCCCCGTCTTATGAGTTCAACCGGTTGATCCGGTAGAAATCTTTCCAGCCCCGGAACTTTCGGTTCCACGACAGGCTTCCAGATCAGAATTGGATCTCCGTGCCATTCCTGAAACGACAGACAGAAACATTTTTTTTCTCTACTTCGAAATTGAATCAAAGGACAACGAATAGATTTTTATTATAAGGTTCGTAAACTAACGAAAAATTCGATCATGGTGTCGGTAAAGTTGGCAACGGGCCTCGATCTCAGACAGGCCAGCATATCTTCAGAGTTGTCGTCTGGACAGTGTAAAAGTTTCGCTTGTTTCCTCGCGAGATCGATTTGCTGGGTCGGATATGGTTCCGCGTTTAAAAGGGATCCGCTCATCACGATAGCTCTGTGGAATAAATTCTTCGACATAGGCGAAACCATGTGCAGCCACACGCTCAGACCGCCAACGCTGCAACCGCTAATAGTGACGGAATTCGGATCCCCTCCGAACGCGGCGATGTTCCTTCGAACCCAACGAAGCGCCAATACCTGATCTTTCAAGCCTAGATTACCCGGCGCGTGCGAATCCCCCGTGCTTATGAAACCTGAGATCGAAATTTCGAAACGAGTTTAATTTTCCGATTTATATTATTTAGATGCATCGATTAATCATACCTAATGTGCCGAGACGAAAATTGACGGTGACCAAAACGATATCATGATCTAACAAATATTGTGGGCCGAAGAAATAACTTTGACCGGAGTATAGATAAAATCCGCCCGGATGGAAAAATACTAATACCGGCCTTGTCACGTTTTCGTCTCTCGATGGAAGCTGTAACGTATCGTATATACTTTTAAATACGTGACAAATGGCGACATCTACAAAATTTCTTTGGAATTATATCTAACTAAAAAAGTTAAATGTAATCTATATAGTATAGTACAGAAAATTATTTAGAATACGTGTTTATATTGATTTGAATATCTCGTTACAATCAATGTTTCAAATACACGTGTACAAAAATTTACATAATTCGAAATTATACCAATCGATAAAGATGATAATGCTGAAAGGTAAAAGCTTATAATTGTGCGTATATACATTGCTTGATTAGTATGCAACAATTTAGATAAGAAAAAAAAAATACTTTTCCAGTATACACGTTCAAACGCAAACAATCCTCGGATTTGAGATCCGTTTGATCCAAATTTGGACATCCTGGACCCTCGTTCGAAGCGTCGAAAACATCGTTCCAATCTGCCGCTGGTGTTGCAATCTGTGGGAAAATTACTAGAATTATTCCCACCCGAATGAACGTTCCACCCGATAAATATTCGTTTGTAAAAAGAAAACACGGGAAGTTCCCTTTGTTTCCATACAGTTGAAGGTTGACGATAAGTTTGACGAATGTCCATGCGCCTGGTATCTTTCCAGAATTAATAGAATTATAATCGAGGGGGGAAAAAAATAAGAAAAATTCACCTGAAAACGGCGTCGTTCTGTAGGAGGCTCGGCGTATCTCACACCGCGGAAGGAATAAATCTTTTTCCCAAGCCTTGAAGTCGAAACGGAGCCGCGTATTTTTCCGATTGGCGGTGTCGCTTCCGGATACGCGGATATACAATATAGAACGTTACCGATCCCAACGATACAAAACGCGATTATACACGATTCTTTCATTTCGTCACGCGACAATTGTTCGATAAAATTTTTTTTTTTTTTAAATTAATAAGCATAAGTTGTTTGCGTAGCAAATGTTCGACAAACACTGAATTTCCTATCGTAAGAAAGAAATATTTTATCGGAGAAAAAAAGTAATACATTAATCATCTTGTCGGTAATATAGAGGAAAATAATAATAATATTGGATAAAGGATAAAGGAAAGGAGATATATGTTGTAAATGTGATATTTTGAAGAGATTTTTTCTTTCTACAGAAAGAGTAGTATACAGATGAAATAATGAGAAAATAAATACATAAGAGATATAGATTCATTAATTTTAAAAAAAAAAATTCAAAAATAAAATTTTATTCTATATTTTTTACTTAATATCATACTACTGGAATAACTATTTGTTCATATCTAATTGGGGAAATAGCCAATCTTATTTGTACTTCAAACTTAATTTACTCGAAAACGAAGAAATTTTACTCTACTTTCGATTTATTTTTTCATGTAAAATTCTACTCGGTAATTCATCACCAGTACGAATATAAATATAGAATGAAAAAATGAACGTGATAAAAATGTAAAGTAAAAATGTTCTTTCAAAGCCGAAACAATTGAAAAATAAATAAATATATACATAATTATCTTAATATATTTGATGCTACGACGTTCATGGTAAACTAAACAATGATGATATTCGAAAATAATAATAAATCCATTTTGTATATATTTCGTAATTAAATAGATACGAATAAAATCTTTAGATGGATAGCATTACAAAAAAAAAAAAA